GTATTTTTGTTCTACTGATAGTCTTGAAAAGCTGCTTTGCCCACAATGAAATGAATAGTAGGCCACAGAATCCCGTCACACTTGATTCCCTCGAATTAGGAGTTGATAACACTTCTCCTGAGTCTCGTTGCAATCCACAACCAGACTCGAGCTTGGGTCCGTTGCGCCAATTAGCATCGGAATGTCACTTGGCCACACAACTCCACAATCATACAACCTCATAATCATAACTGGGTGTGATAAATTAACGACATGCCGGTGGGGACTTAAAGACAGCCCATGACTGATGCCGGTAAGGCATATTTGCATTTGCCGTTATTATCTATTCGACGGTATTACTGACGTTCGTGATGAGTAGGTGGCAAGATTGCCGGTGGATCGTGAACACGCAAATAAGGTTTGTATTCTAGAGCTACTCATGAATGCAAAATCTAAAGTCGTTTGCAATTTTTCTTGACTTTTTGGTTGCTCACATTCAAGTGAAGAACCACCTAAACTATTCTCGTCAAAAAGGAGGGTCTGGAAGCATGACATGATGAAGACTTATTTATTCTGGTTCCATCGCGGGTCTTGCAGAATGGTCGTAAGGTTGCCGAAAAACCATTCGCAGTTGCTGGGGCTACCATTGGCATACCCTCTCTTCTAATTTTTTCCTCCATCCTACAACCCCTACTCCTGTCCCATCTGCTCGTTCGCCTTCACCTTCCTACCTCTTTTTCAGGCTTCATATACTTCTTCTTATACTCCTCCTCATCAATGATGATGATCATCATCATTACCATTGTCGTCGTGGTTTTTCATCAAGATCACCATCATTATAATCATGATCATCATCTTCATCTTCATTATCACTATCGTCATCTCTCTCCTCCTCCATCAGTATCAGCAGCATATTGGTTATCGTAATAATAATAATAATAATAATAATAATAATAATAATAATAATAATAATAATAATAATAATAATAATAATTTCCATCATCATTATCAACAGTATTAGCTTCCTTTTAATTAATTTTTATTTATTTCTCGCCCGAATTCACCTCTTGTGCTCGTTTTTCGGCTGGCCTTTTTCAGGTGTGCACCACGAAGAATGAGAAAGCGGCCCGTCGGGGGCGTCGAGAGGAACAGTTTCGCTCGTTGTCGGGCGACCATCATTTGGTTCGTTCTCGACGCGCCCTCGTCGTCACCACCAACCACCTCAATCGGTACCGCAGCCAAACGGGTCACGACTCACTCGGCAACTTTGCTTCAACCGCCTCCAGTCCCATGAGTCGTCTTGGCGACGCCTCTTTCGAGGGGTCTTCCGTGGGCGCGCGTCCACGCACCACCAGAGCCGACCGTCGACGAGTACGTCGACTCATTCGACGTTTGAGCAAAAAGGGCAACGGATACGTCTGCAAATGGACCAAACACGAGTCGATGATCAACGACCAATGCTCCTGCGCCTGCGGCTAGTCGGCAACCTACTCCGACCCACTCCAACACCCCACAACCAACAATACACACACACACACACATATATACACATACACACATACACATACACAACATAGCCATACCCTCTGCCCACCGGGTCGGGCTGTGCTCACGCCTCCCTGAACAACTCCATGTCGACATTTCTTCAGCCTCCTCGACCCAATCCTACCTCCATTCCTGCTCCTCCTCCTCTGCTTCTTCTGCTCCCTTCGACGCCCAACTCGATCTCACTTTTCTCCCATTCGTCTCCTTTCCTGCTCACCCAACGAGACGGAATTTCTTCTCCATTTGCTGCCTGTCTCCTTCTGTAAAAATGGACTTTGCACCCGTTCAAGCCGACCTGAGTCTTGTCAACTCCGTGCGCAGGGCGCTCGTCTCGCAGGCCCTGGTTCGAGTCCCACCAGACTGGCCTCTTCAGTTGACTGTACATCTTATCCACCGTTTTTGCCACACTCCCCACACTCCCCACACTTTCCACATCAACACCCACTCACACAAACACACACATTCACACACGCTCAGCCTACTATCACTCTCTCGCTCTCGCCTGAGACTAGACAGACAGACCGCCTGTGGGAGAGGCTTCTGGTCTCCGAGGCAAACTAGTAAATGACAGACGAACAGACCCACTCTCTTCATACCTTCTACCTTTTTCTCCCACCTTCGGCACAACCAATTCACCCTTGCCAACAACGGCTGCTGAGACTGTAAGTGTGCATTTGGTTGCCGTCATTCAAATGTGCATAAAAGGTGGCAGCACAACCCAACTTTAGTGTCCATTTTGCCTTTTTCAGTTCGACCCGACCACCGACATGTTTTGCTCTTGCAACGCGAAGAGAGGAAAAATCCACTGAGACTTGAGTGATATTAATTATTCCCACTTTTCCATCAAACGTTCACTTTTTCACCTCGGGTCACGGACATGCACAAATACCGTTTTCTCATATTTATTTCTGCATTACTTATGACTTTTACGATAGATATATCATTTTTCCATGAATACATCACTTTTTTGACCAATCACCAGTTTCTCTTTCCACATCATAAAAGTCATGGGCATTTTCGACAAGTGGCCAACACCTG